AAATTAAATTTTAGTACAGTAAATAGACCGTGAAGTCAATTCTCATTTAATTCAAAACTTGACATTCAACTTATAAAAGAAAAGAATAAGTCCAATAAAAATATCGCTTGTTTTTGCATTGAGTTATTTTATTGTGTCTCTCTCTCTCTTTGATTTTTTGCGCTGGATAATAAACCCTGTCATAATTACATTAAATTTTTCCCATAACTCGGTCGAGACACGTCAAATAAAGTAATATCCTAAGCGATCTTTGGAAAAACTTAAATTTCAGTGATGGCGATTATTTCGTCGACAAAAATTGTAATTCTGATAATAAAAAGGAAAAAAAGAATGAGATATAATAGCACGAAAATTTATATCCTCTCAGTTTTTCTTTATTTTCGCTCTGATTATACAATTTTACAGACTTGATAAAAAGCATCATGATGAAGCAATTTCTAGATTAAAGAGACACGAGGCTACGACCTGTTTTACAACGTGCTATTAAGAAGATTCTAAAATATGCGCGTGCATATTATGAGAGTGACTGGAGGGGGAAAAGAAATTAAAAAAGGATTTTAAATAAAATTGAAGTGTACATAAACTAAAAATGTTGACCGTAATAGTTTTAACAGGCTTCTTTTCGCAAGAATAAATGCAGAAACGTCAAAGTAATGAATCTTTGCTTAATTCTCATCCAGACCACTTTATACATTGTTATACATTTCTCGAGAGAAATAAAATGAGAAACATGAAAAAAAATGTTTCCTTTTTTTACAAATACAGTCCATTTGCTCTATCATCTCAAAAACTTAATCGGCGCTTGATCGGCACGTCGATTGACGAAACCGAGACGTCTCAATTCGCGGAATGTTAATGATTAAAGCGAACCAGTTGAAAAACATGGATAGTTTCCCATGACGGCGGAATGAAGATTCCAGGGAAACGAGCGCCCAAGACCCCGCAAGAGAGAAAGAGAGCGACGAGTTCGCGATGCGCGATAAATGAACATGAAGTGAAGAAGCTCGAACACGTTGTACCGGAAAATTACGAGGGCCGGCTCGTATGTATGTATCGGACGCGTCTCGACGGGAGATCTTAATTGGGTTTGTAAGACCTCGCGGAATGCGGACGACGGACGGGTCTTCGCGTAATTGTTTCCGCACGTATATGTGTACGCGCGTTATAATCCCACGTGTCGTTCACTCTCTCTTTCTCTGCCGACCTGACTCCTCGCGTGAGATTCCTCCGTCCCGCGAAAAGATTCGATACGATCAAGAAAGTTGTGACGCGTCAAGAAATGTAATTACCAATGTACTCTCATCTCACGAGGTGTGTTACAACTATGTATATAACACGTGTAATATACTTGTCTTTTATCTCGTCTTGTCGAGAGAGCTGACGGACCGACTCAAGAAGGAATAAAATGGGCGCTCATCTCATAATTTATATTGTAAGCAGCTTAGGATCATTGCAGCCGTCAGGAATTTATCGCGGAAATTAACACACGTATACGTAACCGTACAATCTCGCAATCTGCGGGGGTTGACGGCTCAACTTTAAGCGTGTACTCGTCTCGTAATTTATATTTTAAGAGGCTTACGCTCAAATTATACATTTAGGGGAGCAGCCGTGAATGTGTTAAAGTTGCGGATTCTCTTATGTATACATAATTAAAATTAGAAATTATATAAATTTCAAAAAATACATATATTTCATACGAGACACTTAGCCTAATTCTACGTTTAGGACCACGATTCTCTCGTCGTAAGCTTACGTATTTAAATTCATTGAAGGCAGAAATACAACGTCGAATAAATCGTCGCGATGTCAACTACGACGTAAATTACACCCCTTCACATACACGCACACGGTACTCTCTCTTTCCTTTCTCTCCCTCTCTCTCTCTCTCTTTCTCTGTCTCTCTTGCTTGTCGCCTATATTATCCGGCGCCGATGCTCCCGGAGGCGCTATCTCTATCTTCTCGCCTGCGGCTCCCGAGGGAGCGAAATAGAATTCTCAGTTTCAATTCTACGACCTCTCTTCCTCCCTTCCGACATTCGTCTACCTCCTTTCCTATCCCCTTTTCCCTTCGCATCAAGATAGACCGAGACTCGCCGAGGATCTTCGACGCTAGCGACGTATCGCCATCTCTTTCCGTTCCCGCAGGGCAGATATTTTATCGAGATCGATCGATACGCCGATACGATGATCTCTCGAGCGCCCTTATCGCCGAGCGCGAAATATTGCGCGGATAATGACAAGCTTGCCCGAAACGAGGCAACTGTGAATGGAAAATCCCGCAGGGGAAAAGAGGAAGATACATATCCGGACGCTCTTCTCACCCGAGGTGTTAAATACAGAGTAATATTGATTTCCGAAAAAAAAAAGAATAATCATACGTGAAATTGCAAAAATATCGAAGAAAAAAAATGAGCGTAAATTCCTTCCGCTGACAAACAATCTTCTCGAGATTCAACTTGATGCACCATCGATAATTGAGACTCGAAGGTAAACGTTTCATTGACATTCGACAATGCTCGAAAATTCCCAGCTTGGATTGATAGCTTTATGAAAGCTTCGGCCAGAATGACGGGAACGTTCGATTTGTTGTTTTTGAGCGCATTCAACGCCATCGCGCGAGTTATTCCCGTCCGATTAATCCCTTCGTGCCCGCGGCAGCAGCGCTGTGATTGGCACGCATGATTGTAACGCGACGTGTTACGAGCTTCGAAAAGCGTCGGATTAATCTCGATGGACGGTGCGGCGCGATTGAACTGATCATCCACGCGCACATGCGAGATAATACGGCAACTTAATGATGATAATCAGCGGAAAGTGACTGCAAATTGCGCACGCCTCGCTGCATTCGGAAAACATGTTATTACATTATTATATATGCAACATCATGGCATGTATTACTTCATATATTCTACATGTCCTCACGTATATTACGGGCTTTCTTTTTGTCCATTTATATTTCCACGTTGTTGCCCGTATTTAATTTTTTATTATTTAACCGTACTCCCGTCCTATATTTATCGTCTTGTCTTACGAAATATTCGTAAGATTATCGACTTTTGAAAAATACACACGTGTTGTATATTATAGACAATACGCGAGATAGGAGCTGTATCGGTAGATAATTCCATTTTAATGGAAAAAAGATAACCGCGAAAGTTATTTGCGAGCGGATCTTGAGTGAAATATCGGTAAGAGATCTCTCGCCTCTCGGGAAGATTCGCGCGCGACCATCGAATAGATTGCGAAACTTCCCCCGCGCCGTAAATAACTCTCCCGTAGTCTTGAAACAACGAGATTATTCTTGAAACTTGGAGGATATTTCAGAAGGCGTCTCGTGAATGCCGAACATAAACGTCCGACAGGTTGACCTATTTTCTCTTATTATTAAACCTTGGCCTGGCTGACACGTGTCCCTTATCATTCCACGCGAGGAGACAAGTTTCATAATTGCAGAAATATCGAGTCAGAGCTACGTCAATTACCGAATAACGAAAGCAGCGCAAAGTTTTACTTGCAAACTTTGTAGAGCACTTTTTGCGCAACCTGGATACTTAGGCTAACCGCTAAAGGCCAAGACAGGCTTCTTAACCGCACGATCGTCGGCCGGAAGACCGCGGTATCGCGCATCTCTTCCTCATTTGCGGTGCGCGTCGCGCAAAAATGCGGCTCGTCGTTAAAAACTCACTCGCTGACTAAGGAGGACGACAAAATTATCGATGTCGGGGTAACTCGTTCCGCTCCGAAAAAGCCTCGCGGCGTCTTTTGATATTAAAATATATAATACGTCGCCGTGTCCCGTCATTTTTGTAGCGACCTTCTTCCACCGGAGCATAATAACGTTTAATGAATTCGGGGCTTCTTCCGGAGTTATCTTCCATTAGTCTCGAGGATAAGTGGCCAAACGAAGCCACGAGGACACCCGCTGTATAATCTCGCTGTCACGTGCAGACGATGCGACGCGGCGCGTTTTCTTTCTTCGCGTTTCACGCGCGCGTACTTCTTGGCCCTATACCCCGTTAATAGCCCGGAGGGCCTGTGCAAGTGACATTTGGTTGAACGATTTAATTATCGGACCGCGCGCATGGCTTCCCGTAAGAGCGCCATTAGACGACGCAGGTGTAATGAACTAGTTTAATGAACGCGCGATCTCCCTCCTCGCTTCCTCGCCGCTTTGGCAATTATAATAACCGCGGTCATTGCGATCTTTCCGCCGTCTCTCTTCCGCTTCAACATCACCGTCTGATTACGGACATGGTTGCGTGATTAAACTATTATATATATTCTTGAATATATTACTTTCCGAGAAGTAGAACGCAAGGTGTCCAAAGATGACTTTTTGAGAGATTTTTGTAAAAGTTTAAAATAGGAAATGTAAATTTTCCAGATTAATATTATTAATAGAAATATGAAAATATATAAGCCTATTGTATAATTATAATTTAAGGATGTTTTGTATGTACAATCTCAGCAAAAAGTAGCTGAAAATCAATACTGACGAATATCCACTTTTGATGTATTTTGAGTATGAGAAATTGTGTGGAATATTACAATTTGATCTTAGGTACAGTGCAGAGATGTATTTTTTAATTATTATTGCGTTTTTACTGAAATATTCCGAATTTTATTAATCGAAATTCATTGAATTATATTTAATATCTTTTTAACCAGTTAGTACTTGTATAATATTATTTGACCAAATATTTCCTCTGTATCTAAATTTTTGCAAATTTTAAATAAATTCTGAATATTATTTCCATTTGAATCGACGTGGTTGTACGTTTCCCATAAGAACACATGTTAAAATCCTTATAACTTGTGAACGCTTTAGTGAATCGATTTAAAAATTGTACTGAAGATTCTAAACATATGTAAGGACATTCTGTACAATTTTCATTAAATTCTCAATATTTTGAAAATAGGTACAAAACATCCTTAAACTTTTATGTAGAAAAAAATTGTTGAATGTGTTGCTAATGTCATGCATTTGTGTTTTGCAGTTACAGCGAATCATCCGCCCCAAAGACCATGGATTCCGTTGACGAGGCCCAACAGGACGAGACCAACATGTAAGTGATGGAGATTTTCATTTTTACATCGCGAAGAAAATTAATCTAATAAAGTTACTCGCTCGCTAATCTATTAATCGACACATTTATCAGATGCAGGAATGAAATTCCACGCGATTTTCCCACGCGTGATTGTTCACACGATGGATTAATTCCTTTATAATTACATCACGTTGCAGAATGGCCTTCCCTTTTGCAGAAATCTCAATAGTAGATCTAGACTTGGTTTCTCCTTTGCAATCATAATGTAACGCGTGGTGCAAACCTTTCATTAACGCTCGAGCGTTTTCACGTCATCGGTACTTATTAGAATGCGCGAATCGTGCGCGCTAAATCAATGCGCGGTGTTTATTATTACAACGTGTATACGCGCGTGTTACATCATCTGTGAGATAACGGACGAGCGCGAGATGATCTATGGAGAAACTACGGCTGATAGTGACTAATGTACCGCTGTGTGACAATCGCGCACGTCGAGTCAAAATACGACGAGTGCATGCGTGCGCCGTAAAACAAATTGCGTTTTACGGTCGGCGTAATAAATTCACGCATTAAAGCCACCTTCTCCTCGGCGATATCAAACTTCGCCGTTACTCGGATCGTTACTTAAGCCGAATCGCATTTACGCTTCGTGCATTCATTCGCTTGTAGTTATAAGTACGTTCGCTGGAAGTCATAAGTACGCTCCTCTCGCCCCGTTGAATTAGCGAGATTGTTCCCACGAGCGTGTTCGAAATAAAACACCCTTTTATGCGCGATAAAAGTTATTAGTTTTTATACTCCTGTCGATATCGTGTTGCTTCGATCGCTTCTGTGAAAGTACGATAAAGTGTGCCAAATACTTTTTAAAATTAATCTTTGTATTTTTCATCTTCTCCATAAATCCAAAACCATTCGAGATATATGACAAAAATAATTATTAATATTTTTTATAAGTCTTATCTAAATTACTTGCTACACTGAGAAAAAAATCTGGTTTCATTAATTAGAATTCTGGTAGATTCAACCAATATGTCTGTTGGAAAATGGACGAACCAGAATTCTTGTAGGAATTATCAAATGAATCTTAATTTCTTCCTGTTAAATTTAACAAATTTTCTGGTTAATAATACTAAACTCACCAGCACCAAGTCGTCTAAAATTTTTTCCATCTATTCTTAAAAGTCTGTTTAATATTCTGAATTCCAACACGATTATTGCATAAATTCAATCCAGATTATTCAATAAATTATTTTAAGTTCAGTTTGTTAGAAATTAAACTGATAAACAGTGACGCAAGAAGAGGATGCAGCTCAAACACACACAATCAGAAAGCTAGCGTCCTCTTTCTGGCACTACTGCTCGTAAGAGAAAAAAAAATACTACTTTGGATTTAATGTTGATACTAGTTCTTTATATATTACATTTCATGGCAAATATTGAATACGAGTTAAGTTAAGAAACAAGCAAAGAAATTAATGTAACAAGAAATTTTATAGATCCAACCAGAAAATATTAATCAAATCCTTAGTAAAATCTATTAAACGTTCTAATTGTAAAAAATCGAGTCTTATCATGATAACTAGAAATTCTTGTTTGATTTAATCATTAATCATTTAATAATTTTTTAATCAAAATGCCTTCAATTATATACGTCTTGTTGATATAATCAAACAATTTTTCTCAGTGTATCTTCTAAGAAGACAAATATTCCTAACATTTACTAAAGAATCAGGGAAATCTTGCATACGCTATTCACCACCGTTTCTATCTCAATTTTACGATGCAATCATTGGGGAATCTCAACATACTCCCTCCGTCTAAACGATGAGAGGAGGGGGAGGGTATCTTGACGATCGGTCAATGCCGACGACGAATTTCACAGCCTCGAAGCGCCGTGTCGCGTCGCGCAGCATCCCACCGCCGACGGCTATGTACCGCACCATCTGGACAGATTTATTGCGCGACACCGGCTCGACGGCAGCGGTCGAGGTAGCGGGAAGGGTGAAAGAGGGAGAGAAAGCGCGCGCGCGGGCATGGAGGTACAAACGGCTGTTCGGAGCTGCCGTCCAAAAGGAAGCCATTGTCGGCTCGCGCTGGACGCGATAAATCATTTCACTACGGTTTACGCTATTCATTATTTACGAGAGAGCCCATTATACTTACGACGGTCGCTGATTAGTTATACCGTTTGTAGATGCGTTTGTAGACGGTGTATTTGTCTGGTTGTTCTTTAGTAAGTTTGATGGGATTACATTGCTAGTATGTTTTATTGATTTTTGTTTGATTTTGGAAAATTGAAGATTACGAGAAAAGAATGCTTTAGTTCGTTTTACGATTGGTAAAGCTTGTTCTCCTAATCATAATAATGTTAAATAATGTCAAGTAATTTGCATTCTTATTATTTCTTTGCAACATAGAATTGCTTGTTTGATTCGAAATAATTACACAATAATTACATAATAATTATAATTAATATAAGCAGTTAATATAATCCAACTATCACGTATAATGTTTGCTTCTAGCTATTATTATCTCTCTATATGTGCATGCGCAATAACTAGTGATTTGTCAATATTTAGAGAAGCGCATTACGCTAGAAATTGCGAATAATGTAGGGAATGGTTTTTATCTGAAAATATTACACTTTGCTTTAAAGGGTGAGCCATTAAATTCTGAGTAAATTACAGTCTTTTATAAAATACTCTGGTAATAATTCCCACTAGTGAATTTCACATATAAAGTGTACCATAAAATGCTGCAATCAACAGTAGGAATGCATTTTCCGAAAAAATATAGAGATCTACGATCTTTTCATAAAATTTAAAATTTAACTGTAAAGGTACACCATATAATCTTTCGAAAATTGCAGTATTATTATTCCAATTAAAATATAAAATTAATTAAAGATTTCAAGTCGGAATAAACGGTGAGTTTTTGTTCTCTAATCATAGCTTAAAGAAAAATTTGTTATAAAGATATTGCGAGTGACTCTTACGTTATTACATACAATTAATATAAATAGCAGACAATTATTATGGCACACATAAATTGTAATGAATATAACTAATGTTAATCAGAATAAAATAATTGTAATAATCATTACATGACAAGTGATCTTTTACCATGCCAATAGGTCATTTTATAATTAGCTGATTACTTAATTTTTCCCGTGAAGGAGAAATGAATGTAGCATGAAATTTATCGGAAAATATATACCATCGTGCGCTTTATAACGCATCCCGTATATTCCTCGAAATTCGGTAAAGATGCGTCGGATAAAGTAAACGGTCGGAATCCAATATTACATACCGTGCCACGAGAATATTACGTCAGGAGAAAGAGAGAAATTCAAGCTCTTCCTCTCTAGTACAACGATTTGTATGATGCCGCCGCCGGCTCGTAATTGCTCTATGCGCGCCATTTATATTCGGAGAGCTATCGTTTTACGAATGCGGCAATTTAGGAATTACGCGAACGCCCTTAAAACCAATTTCTCCGAGATGGCTGTAATTATCGCAACGACTGTGGCCCGTTACGTATTCGGGATAGATCTCACCGTCGTCATCACCGTTATATCGCGCGAGACTGGCCGACAATTATCCTCGTTTCGCGCGTACGCTCCGGAACGCGCGGAATTACATTCGGCATTATCTCCGTTGCTCCGTGATAGGTCGGTACACACGTGCACCTTCGTAAAGTGGCACTGGACCTGGCTGCACCGTCGAGGATCGGACAGAGTGTAAACGTTCATCTCTTGGAATTAATTTTTTATAAACCTGAAAGATCAACTCGATAACGATTTGAACATGACTAATAATTATTTCCATTCATTATCTTTCCGCCGGCATCTTCTATCGAGAGGAATTTAGATTAGAAAGCTTTGTAATAACCTTCCACGTGGCGAGGAGTAACGTAATTCGGTCCTGATAGTAGCGGCCGACAGGTTCCTGCAAATTACTTCTTGCACCTCGCGACGACGCTCACCATCATACTCATTATGGTGACCCCCGCACACGACCGGGTCGGTTTCCATGGGACACGGAGCAATTACGCGCCATTATCATTCCGATGCTCATAACTGCTCTTGCACGCGCGCGATTATGTTCTTATTAGAAATTATTGTTGCCTCGGCGCGCACGCGCGGTAATCATCGTGCCCCTTTTGTCGCAATTATTACCGTCATCGTCATATCGATGCGGCTTTATATCTACGATTGTGCCGCGTTTGTTACTGTTAATTAATAATAAATGGCCAGACTGACTATTATTTTCGCCTCGTGCGGAATCATCGCCATTGCCTGTTTCTTGATTACCGCGATTATCTCGATCCGCAACGATAAGTACGATCAAATAATAGCGATCAATCAGACTTATTTAGATTCTAGGACATGAGAGATACATACGCGCCGTCATTTTCCTTCATTTATTAAGCTTAAATAACTTAGCAAAAAGATTGTCAAAGCTTTATTGATTTATAAAAAATTGTTTCTATTCTCCATTGATAAATTTTATTAATTGATAAATATTATTTTACTCGACATTATCTAATTTTTATTATAACTTGAAGCATCACGTACATACGCTACAAAATTTCTTTTACATTTTAAAAACATATTTTCAAAGATAGAGAGAAAAGTCGTAACATTATGTTGCAACATAGAGCGCAAGAGAGTTGTAAAAATTTTCTACCCCCATTGATAAATTTTATTAATTGATAAATATTATTTTACTCGACATTATCTAATTTTTATTATAACTTGAAGCACCACGTACATATGCTGCAAAATTTTTTTTACTTTTTAAAAACATATTTTCAAAGATAGAGAGAGAAGTCGTAACATGTATCATTATGTTGCAACATAGAGCGCAAGGGGGTTATAAAAAAAAACACCTTTATATCTCGCGGTATCGCGGAGAAATATATGCTACTTTGGTTCGAATGTACGCTCAGAGGCAAACTTCTTTTCCGTCGATTTATATCGTTACATTTCTATGAGGCACGTCGCGTTTATGCATTTGCAAAATCGCTGGGCTCGACCGCGACATTTCGATCTACGAGTCTGGAAACTGGGTCGGTCTCTTGAATTTCGACGGGTTGGCCAACTATTCGCGGTAGATTTTTACGTTGTAAATATCCCATTGCGCTGTGCGAACTGGAGATTCACCGTAATGCCGATTTACGAGCCAACTATTTCGGCGTACAGCTGCACGGGTTTGTTGCGCCGCAAAGTCGCTTATTTATCGTCCTGATCTTTGTATGAAGTTGACCCGATTAGGATATTTTAGAAGAGATATTTCGTAAATCGTACAACGCGACTGCTGAAACTTCGCGTAAATAAAGTTCTTCGATAAAGTTGATTCCTTCGAAAAAATTATCTCGGTTGTTTACAGGACAACACACATGCCGTCCGCTAATCTTATTACTCCGACAATCTCGGCTTATTTGTCGTACACCCGGTACAAGCACGATCGCGCAACACGCGAGACCGAGCGGCGGATTCTCTGGCGTGTGTAAATTAGGTAACCTGTTCGGATCTTCTCTCTCGCGGACTGGTTTGGCGACTCTTGGGGCAGGTCGCGGCTCGGCATCGTTGACCTCGAAGAGGATGCCTAGTCGTGAATGGACCACCGCTTACACGCTGCCATTGATTGCCGCCGCCGTCGTTCTCCACTATACTTGTTTCCGTTCACTCGTCCCCTGTCTTGCTTTATTACAGTGTTATACTTATTTCTAAAAAAATTAAAAAGAAAGTGGCATAAGAACCAACGCGCGATAGTTGGAGCGCAGAGAAGCAACAATACTTCTTTCTTTTTTCAATATTATATTAAACTATAGTTTATTACAAAACTCATATTACAATAACAAAAAATTTATTGTTTATTACAAAAATTATGCAATTATGGCATCGCGTGTAAAATTAAAATCAAATTTCATCAAATGTTTAATATGTTCAACGATTAATAACGATTAATTGCGAATTTAAGGCTGAAGTTTACGAATGACTTTTTTTTAAACCTGTCTTAAAAGTTTTTTTTGCACGCACTTATCCAAGTTCAAGTGTATCTACGTTGCATTTGCGACGTGTTTGCTATCTGTATTTGTCGCTTGCCCGACGGTCGAAGTTTGGCAAGTGCTCCTACCGAGCATATTCCTCCGAGCGACTAAAACACTTCGCAGATTAAAGTGATTAACAGATTGGCTACTGAGCAAACCAAGCTCGTCAAACTTTACGATATTGCGGAACATCTTACGCCAAAAGTTTGCTCGAATGCATTCACCGAAAACTCTTCGCGAATACTTTTATCTTTCAGGCTCATCGTTTCGTTATCCGTTAAATATTCGCCTCATTATCGTCCGCAGTTGATAATGAAAATTGAAACTCTTAAGAGTGAATATAAGTGGAATTTAAGGGAATTTTATCGCAACAATGTCTCCGACAAATCGATAAAACAATTATTAAAATTATATAATTAAAAAATGACATTCAATAAGTGTGTAATACATATAATTTATCGAATAGAAGAAAATAATGTAGAAATTTACTGTATTACAGATGCAAATTTCTTGATGCTAATATAGCGAAGAGCATTTATCCCGACAGACGATATCGTAAATACTATCATACCGGATGCAGACGCGTGGATGTATATATATATAATTAATATCGGTTAGCGAAACTTGGGTTTGTTTGACTTAGTTCGTTACCAATAAATGTGCCGTACTTGGAGAAGTGATCAAGTTTCGGTACCTCGGGGATATGGTCATAGATCGTAGCGATGTGTACTATAACTATTTGATAACTTTGGTCATTATCAGTTTGGACCGGTAAACCCCGGATTAAGCTAATCCTCTCCAAAGTGGTTTTGCCGAAGGTAAAGTGCCTAAAAAACACACCCGCTCTTAACATCAAAACATATAACAACGTTAAGACCTTCGAGAGATATAGGCAATATTTTAGATTAAAAAGAATAAAGCAAAAATGAAGAGAGAGGAGAAAGAAAAAAATAAGAAAATATAAATATACGTTTCTTTAAAATTCCATTAAATTAATTTATAATGTACATTTATAAATTTATATATTGCACATATTTAAAAAATGATATCCCATAGTAAAGTATTTTTAAAAATATTAGCATAATCATTCGCTTCGGAAGAAATATCAAAAGACCATAATAACGCATTGTCAACTTCCTTATCATGGTCGTCTCGCGGGCGATAAAATCGCTTCTCAAATCCAATATATTCGTCATTGTCTCCATCTTGTCGGTCTTGCGGCACGAAGGGGAAACGACGGGGCGCCCATTAACGTCGCATATCTCACGCAAGATCGAATCCGAATAATCCCCCGTTAAGACAATCGCCGACTTAGTCGGCGAGCGCTCGAGGACTCGTCGAGATGGTTGTGTTAACAATCCCTCGGGAGTGAAGGAGGCTCGGGAGGGGGGGAGGGAAACGAATCGACGGATCGTTAACGATCGTATTTATCGCGGGAATGAAAAAATCGGCCTATCGAGCGAGTCTATCGCCGCGTCCGCGTCGGGAACGGATAATTAAAGATTAAAAGCGCTCGCGCGCGCCGCCCCAGGTACGCCCTACATCTATATATAATTAATGTTGTCTTACATTTTGCGCGTTATCTCACGTCTTACATCTCGCTTCGCGGTGATAGTGGTCGATAATAAAAATTAGAAACAGCCTTGATTTCTACCTCATTAAGCATTAAATTGACATTAAATTATTAGGTATACGTTGCATCGCGGAGCAAAGTGCCAGTGTTTCGATACTACAGTATCATTCTATCCGTATCCTCTTCTCGAATCGAGTTACGAAGGCAGCGATCGAAGGCAGGGACCGATTCGCGTATGTGGCTGAATGATTAACAGCGTTTTCGGAGCGACGGTTTGGGGCGAATCCGTGATGCCGATACCTACCTAACTGTTTCTCTCTCTCTCTCTCTCTCTCTCTCTCTCTCTCTCTCTCTCTCCCCCTCCCTCGACAGGCTGCGATATCTTCGAGTTACTAACGTAGCAGAGTACGCATACGCGTTATTGGATTGCGGGGATATACCGCGGTTCAATTATTTACACACACTCTCTCTCTCTCTCCTTCGCGATCGCGTTTGCGGTAATAGAACTGCTGATTTATACTGGTTTAGCTCGACCGTCTATCGTCCGGGCCGCTTTCAAATTAGTTCCAACGTATCGGAGCGAGATGTATTTTTCAAGGGCATCGAAAACGCCCCGAAATCTCACCTCGTCCGCGAACACACGAGCGAATTAGTTGCGAGCGAAAAGATTGACCCTGATAACAGACCGGATCAATCCGCGAGTGTTAAAGTTTTCCGATGCGCGAAGGAAGGCGAGCAACACGAGTAGAAACAGACGGCCGTTCCTACTCGAGCCATAAATGTCTCGAGTGATAAGGAGAGACGCGATGCACTTGATGATTCGCATTAGCGTGCTCTAATCACGGTATTATACCACACGCGACGGATAACTCGCGAGGTCGCGTGAGACGAAACAAAAGACGAGAGAGAGATAGAGAGAGAAAAGATGTCGGAAATTTATGCAGACAACCGGGCGACGTCGGCAAGACAGCTCGTTCGCTTTATGCTGATCCTCTTATTCCACATCGCGAAAATCTATCTACGCCCGCGTCTGAGCAACACGTATCCGTCTGTTCGTGTTTACAGCTCGTAGAACAGGAAGAGAATCGGAGAATGGAAAGTGGAAAAAGGAAAGACACGGGGCTTGAGGAAAGTGGAGCGGCTTACGAACCGAATCGCGAATACGCGAAATTAGGATTGCGAAAGAAACAAGCACGTTGATTCCCAGAGTGTTCAAAAAATTCCTCCATTGTTTACGATGGAAAAGAAATAATTTAATTTTTTTTTGGTTGTTGAATCATTCGATTTCTTGACTGGAATGAATGAAATATTCCGCGAGCAAAGTAATACCTGAGGAAAAAATGCAAAATGATGGAAGGAGGAATCGTAATAGTCTTTCCTCTCTCTTGCGTTTTTCTTATTTTTAAATAATCTCTTTTGCATTTTTCTTATTTTTAAATAATAAAATGTCAAAGATAAATATTTACATACTTTTCGTTGATTGCATTTTTACAGGCATATTTACGGTGATGTGTTACAACGTATTGTGCGACAAGTATGCGACACGACAGATGTACGGCTACTGTCCGAGCTGGGCGCTCGACTGGGAATACCGGAAGAAGGGTATTCTCGACGAGATACGGCATTACGCCGCGGACATCATCAGCCTGCAAGAGGTCGAGACGGACCAATTCTACAATTTCTTCTTGCCGGAGCTTAAGCACGACGGCTACGACGGCATATTCTCGCCCAAGTCCCGCGCGAAAACGATGGCGGAGAACGACCGCAAATACGTCGACGGCTGCGCCATTTTTTATAGGACCGCCAAGTAAGTGCATTCCTCTGTCTCGTTATTCGTTGCCCCGAAATGGTCGAAAATGGCAAATATATTGCAATGTCGGCCATAAAAATTCAAAGTATAAAAATATCTATATTTTACTACCTACCCTCTCTTTACAAACATTATACATTAATTTTAATATCTTGTCATTCTTCAGTCGTGCTTTTCTAAAATGGTTCCAACTTTTTAATGTAAATTATAACATCTCTTGTAATTAATTATTCTTCTGCAATAGCTGAGGAGAAAAAAGCAGTATAAAATATATGTAACACGATAATCGAGGGTAGATAATTAATTTTAAAGCAATTTAATTTAAATATTCAAAATTGTTATATGCGAGGATTTACATATTGCTTTTAGCCTTTGAAAGGATGTTCCATTAATTCGTCATTTTCCTATCACGGCGAGCGTTCTAATTGCCTCGCGTTGAAGAAAAAGAAAAACGATTATCGACAGTCTCGATTCTCCGGCGATCCCTCGATTTATTAAGAGGCGTGGTAATTTAATTAATAAACGCATGACGGCGCAACAGAAAACTCTGTCCAATTTAATACAGTTATCGATCACGCGCGATCGAATACTTTGCGAGCAAATGCGTCTTGAAATTCCTCGAAAGGATTTCATTCGTCAAGACTCACAACGCACACATACATATATGACAACAATAAAGCAATTTAAAAAAATTTGAAAACGAATTGATTTTTAAAACAATAACCAATTATTCCTGTGTATAGTTATACAGCCTTTTTTCTCGTATTTTTGAAATCGATATGTATGATTTTATTTGTATTTTTTTAATTAAAAAAAAAACGTAGTTTTATATATGTATATATACAAGAGTAACAATACAAATATGAAATATTTGTCGTGAAAACACTTCGTTACTTTGATAAAAAAATCCGGTGATGAAATAATTTTTCTAATTATTCGTTATAATTATCTTCGCAAGATTTCACATTTCGAGAGAGAAATACGGTTATTATAGAAGATTATCTTCATCACCTTCGCGAAATCAATTATAAAGCCGGCTCCGCTTATCATCGCCTCGATACCGGAAAGAGCTGAGATCTCCCAAAGCGCGACATTTAATTTCAAGCGGGATGAAAGACGCGTCCGCTCGTAATTTAACAAAACGTCGCGCACATGTCTGGCGTGTAATAACGTCATGGTAATCCAATATCGCGTCAGATAGTAACGCGCGTCGTAAATTGCCGTTCGTGTTTAATAGAAAAGCGAACGCGTCGCTTCGCAAGCGCGTCTTTTTTTTATTTGATAAATTAACCGGAAATCGATAGATTTCCCTTATGAAATATCTACGTACACTTGAGAACACAAGAATCTTAGATGCTATAAAATACGAGAAACGTAAAACCGGCACAAATGAATGAATAATCTTAATTATGCGTGTGAGTAAAAAATTTAATTGCACCGAAATTTACGCGCGTAAAATGGTTCCTATAGATTTGATATTGAAAGCGAGAAAATGTTACGTGGTACACGACGTTCAGATTTCAATGACTCGATATACACGAAATTATTGGCATGTTGCGGCAACGTCGATACACACAAATTGCCTTTGCGACGGCATCGAATGGAACGTCGCAGCTGCACACCGTCTATAACGCATTAATCATCGCGGCCGCCGGTCGCTACCCGAGATATCTATTTCGACTAATGCTTATTTTCAGAGTATCTCGTGACATAATGGCAGGTCTCCGCGATATCGCGTCGCAATGCCAACCCCCGGGGCTATCAAACCACGAGCGCGACGATTAATGCGCCCCTATACATATGTGCAACGGTTCCCTTTATAACCCACCCCGTCGTAAATAGCTCGAGCGAAGTAAATGTGTCTCTGTGCGACAATATTAAGGCCGATGGCGACGAATAAGTCTCCCTCTCTCTCTTCCCTCCCGTCCGTTTTAAACGCTTCCGCGGTAGGTTACGCACGGTTTTAACCCTTCATCACTTCATCGTTTGTAATATTAAACATTCTGTATTTAATTAATCTGGAGTATTCATCACTCGAGTATAATAATTTTTATTTGGGGTGGAATTGTTCGATGAATCGTGTCTTGAATAAAAATATTTTTCTCGAGATATTTTACTTCATTAAGACACGTAAAAGAGAATTCTGTGTGATTTAATAACTTAAAAATTGGTAAAAATTGTCATCTCGCACGCAGGAATTGGAGATCCCTGCGATTGTCTGATCAAAACGCGCTTGTACTACTGCGGGCGCGAAGCCGCGACATGATTCGCATGACTTTCCATTCACGTTCCTTTCCTCTCTCGCCGCCTCGCCGTGAATTTCCTCGGCCGAAGGTGATGAGGAGAAAGAGAAAGAAGAAGGAGCTTACGGTCTTGCTTTTACGGCTTGCAAAGACGCAGCCATCGATTTCAATCCGGCTGAACAACGCGACCAAATCGACCGAACCAAATCAACGCTCGCGCGATGAGCGTAAAGTTCAACTCGCGTTCAATTTCCGCCTTCGGCGCTCGCCCCTCGATCATTCCCGGCTTTATTGCCTCCTCGCGGATTATACGGCGCAATGTCCAAGTGCCGTTTAAAAAAGGAGAGAAAAAAAGAAGAGAAAAAAAAACGAGGAAAGTTTAATGTCCGCGCAGGACGCAACAACAGCGATAAAATTCTACGATCCATTAGACGATAAATATTTTTCGAGCGCGTTAAGTTTTATTCCTTCGCGAATGAGGAAGAATAATTGCACAATCTTTGTATGAAACTTTACATTCTCTTATGTGTTTTTAAATTTTAATTACATAAAATCGTATTTTTGTTCCCGATCTTCGTGTTAAGGAATTTTCTCTTCGATTCAAAGGTGAAACAGTGAGATGTTTCCGACAGTGGGAAATCAATTATGTAGAATTTTCATCGCGATCCCTTTTCTTATTTTCGGCCAGTCTTAACTTAATCCTCTTCCTTCCGCTTGGAGCGACTCCGGATGACGGTGATTCAATCTTGTTTGCGACTAAGGAGACACTCGCCCGGAGACGGAAGGAGGGATGATGGCTCGTAATGGGTATTCGGGGAAGAATATATTTCTCAAGCATACGTGCCGCACATATAAGAAAGGGGAGAGAAAAAGTTAAGGCATTCTACATCGCGTACGTGATACGCCTTTCTCTGGCTGCGACGAAAATCGCCTGATACCGACGAGACGTTACTTCTCGTCGTATCTAAGTTGTACTGCGAGCGGGTCTCACCGAGTCTTTCTCTACGTATCTACGTCACGGGACGAAATTGAGTCTCGCCAGCCCTTTACTGAGACTTAAACGACCGATTGAGAAAGGACCGGAATTCTTTTCCAGACACATAGTTTCGCGCGATTCGCTGACTCGATGACTCATGCTATCACTGCGATGACAATTGATATTATCTTTGATGCAACGAAAAGGGAATTTAACCCTCCTCTGCTACACTTGATTAATTCTAAGAAGTCTTGGTATACAATCTATTAATTGTAGATTCCTTCACACATGTTTTTTTCCGAATTTATTTTACGCGCAAGTGGAATTGATTTTTATATTAAACAAATTTTTAAAAACTCCAAAAATAAAATAGCAACTTATATCTATCGATTCAAATTTATCTCTTTCTCACGTATTCTTTATTTTATTTTTGCAGATTTTCTCTGATAAAAGAGCATTTAGTCGAATTCAATCAATTGGCGATGGCGAACGCGGAGGGTTCGGATAATATGTTGAATCGAGTCATGCCCAAAGATAACATCGGACTGGCTGCATTACTTAGGACTAAGGAAGCCGCTTGGGACAATGGTGAGTGCACTTGAGATTTACATCTTCTCGTATATTTACAGAATATTATTTACAGAAATAGCTTAGATAAATTAGAATATAAGTGTATTTGATATTCTCAATTTGAATCATATTTGGAAATTTGATACTTGTTTTTTGCAAGTTTTTTTAGAGAATATAAAATAAGTTTTAAAATTATTTAACCTTTTTATCGTAAGAATCAAATCAAATTTCCATTTCGGGACCGACAAAAAAGGTTACTGGAGCATTCAAGTTTGCGAATATTCGCTAAATCGTCTTGAAGCAAAAGATAATTAAAGATTGCGTATACGATTGATGGGAAAATAAAAAAAAGATAGAGGCGGCAGACGCTAACTGAGCATCTGCTCGTTTTATACACACCCACCGATGATTCGCGCGTATCTAGTCGCGTGTTTGCACACCCTGAAACACGAAAGTAATTAACGCGTCGGTCTCTCGGTAACCGATGAAGCTGCTAGATTACTACTAGACGCGCGCAATATACAGAAGTCCGTTTTTCCCGCGTCCGTGGAAGCTCGTGCGCTCGATGATTGAAGCGAGTAAATCGAGCACGGTACTCCGATCCGGTATACACAGGGTGACCCAACATTACATAAAGTTTGCACACCGTGTGTTTGATTTTTTCTTAACATAAATCTGCAAAATGATAACAATAATATTTCAATTATATGAAAGAAAAATTGAAAATTTTTATTCTGTTGAATTTTAAGATTCTGCTAGTTATATCAAAATTCCTTATTCCTTATTCTGTCATAAGTAGATAAATATAACATGTATTTTTTCACAGAATTTTAATTCATAATTAAAGCAAATCGCGCGATTATCCAAATTTTTCCAGATTTATAAAGATGATTAATCAAACGTTTGATGATTAATCAAACGTTAATTTCTCGAAGGGAACGTGGCGAGACTGGGACACCTTGTATAGCAAGTGTATCGCGGAATGCGCGAGTAAACCAGGTCTGAGATTTATATGGTGCCCCAAAGGTCGAGAACGGGCTCTTACGGCTCACTTGGACGCGTCGGAACGTGCTTTCGTTAATGAGCCCGCGTTACATTAATCCATACCCGGCGCAACGACTGGTCGGGAAAAAGCCGCGAACTCTTTTCGTTCTTATCCGAGAAGGAGCAATCGATCGCATTCGCGAAACGACTCCTGCGCGCTTCCTGCGCTACGGTTAACACCTGATTAGCTTCTCGTACACATCGGAAGTTATTACCGCAACGTAAATCACTATGGCGGGTGCTAGATTATCAAATTGTAAACGTTCTTTCTATTTGCACATACACTGAGTAAAAGAAGTTGTTAATTTGATCAAACCGTTTAACTAAATTATTTTTTTAATTGAAATATTTAAATATTTAAGTTAAATAACTGTTATGTTAAATTTAATATTAAATAGTTATTAATTTAAATATTATAGTTAAATATTTTAATTTAAAAAATAATAATTTAGTTAAATCGTTAAATGGTTTAGCCAAGTCAACAACTTTTTTTTTCTCAGTGTACAGATATAATATTTTAATATAAATTTGAAATTATTGCAAGATATTTGCTTACATATTATGAATATAAATTTTTATGAACATTTGTATAAAATTTTAAGGTTTTTCAAGCGCTTTTTGAAACGCTCACTATCATGGTTAAACATTCTCATAGACTTTTGTAAAGTTTCTTATTCGTAAAAATGACGAATATTAGACTTTCTAAATTTTCAAAAAAAATGATCGCAATTACGGTAAGAATTTTTACAGACATCTGTAGAAATGTACACGCTCACATTCGCGCAATAGTAGCAAACATTTTTCAAGTTCTCGAAAAAAATGTAGAATCTCTGATCCTCTCTCTTGATCCGAGAGAATTTTCACGCGAATGGAATTAATTCGGCTACTCGTGTCGAGAACTTGGTGACTCACGGCAGTTCTAAACTTCTCCAAATTTCGCAGAGTATATACTCGCATCGCGTTTCTCGCTTTGAAACCGTCGCTCAACTTCCTTATATATACTTCAGACTTGGTCAATTGAATAATCAGAGAACATGGAGTGACCCAACTAAGCTGACAGCACTCGGGCGAATAAACAGTCTAATTAAATATAATCGAATATGTTCATTGCCCTCTTGATGAACCTTAATATGGCACATTTCTCAAATTCTAATTAATATTCCTCGTTTTATTCGAAAAATGTTGCTCTTTTATTAAGTCGCGTAAGAAAAATCACACGTACACAAGAATGTTTACACGTGCAGCTAACTTTCGAGGAAAATATATGTAATTGTAAGGTTCGCTTCAGTACTTAAATGCGCGATAAGGATACTCGCATAGGTCGATGTTCTCTCGCGCAGATAGATGCGCTCGCGCCGAGGGCGAGAGTATCGAGATTAAATCTCGATCGAAGAGCTAAAATCCATGTAACCATGCCAGTGGGCCGCGATTAATGATCTCTCTTGCTCGAATACGAGAGCAAGCCCGAGATCTCGCATCCTTTCAGCCTTATGTGGGACCGAGCTGATAGTCTCTCCGGCTCGGTTCGTGAAAAAGATGACCCGTTCCGAAGGAACATCCCTGTTCGGCGAATCTCTATTGGTCGGACTAATAGTGTACCATCAGCGGTACTAATAAACCGATATCAGCTGCCGGCGAACGATGAACGATGCGCCATTCGGAGATATATAAGGGGAGCAAGCGGATCGTTTATCGCAGGTACGCCCACGATTCGTCGGATTCTTTTTCATGTGTAAAAATTTCAAGACGGCATCGTTCATCATTCCTTAAAGACGGCTTCTTAAGGTCTCTGACAGTACTTCGAGTAACGCTGCAAAAATCAGGCATCCCGCTCTTTAAATATTTTTTAATCTCGTACGTGTGTTTCATATAAATACATTTCAGACGCAAGTAATAAAAATCGATGGTGTAGAATAGAGAATTCATGCACTGAGAAAAACATCTGGTTGCATTAATTAGAAATGTAACTAAAATCTGGTAGATTCAATCAATGTCTGTTGGAAAATGGACGAATCAGAATTCTTTTAGGAATTACCAGATGAGTATGATTAATTTCTTTAAATTTGTCAAATTTTTCTTGGTAATAATATTAAATTTACAAAAAAATGGCATCACCGTGTCCATGTATAATTAATATAACAAGAAGTTTTATAGATTCAAGTAGAAAATATTAACCAAATACTTGTAGTAAAGTCTATTAAGCGTTCTAGTTATGAAAAATCTAGGCTTATCGTGATAATTAGAAATTCTGCTCGGTTTAACTAAAATGCCTTCTATTAGATAGTTATACATCTGGTATGGTTGGTACAATCAAACGATTTTTCTCAGTGTGCTGGATAAATCTTTCAATTATACGACAATTATAACTTATATGCGGAGGATATTCTAGAATTAGAACGAATGTATTTTTTCAGGCTTGCGTCCATCTTTTTTCTCTTATTGTTAGTGCGAAGAATAGAAAGCCAGCGTGACTTTACGCGCGGTTAACCGGCTGAAAGTTTCTCCGGCTAAAATGCCGCTGAATTCATTCAGATCCCACGGGATTATTCTGTGCTACCGAGGATATAGTTCTGCCGTCCAAGCGGAATACATTTAGATACGATGCGGCGATACCAAATATCGAATTTCTCGGTGGTAAGGAAACACGAGAGAGCTCAATTATTCTCGGAGTAATCAACCGATGCGCGATCACGTCTAGAAAATTAGAGCAGAGTCTCTAAAAGCGACGTAAACGTATCTAGACGGTATTAAGATAAAACGACGTTAATAATTCAAGGTTTGTGTAAATAATTCAAAGTTTCATTACGGAGAGATTTTCCGTAATAGGAGAATTTCTGTAATGGGAGAAATCTCTCCTCTCTCCCACCCTCCCTCTCTCCCATCGCACATCAAAGAGTCATATAACGAGAATGTGTTAAAATATTACATTTTGTTAATTAAAAATTCAAAAGAGATTCTCAGTGTTTCCTATATTATATCATATGTGCGTATTTTATTTATTTATAAATCACTTGTAATTCCGATTGATAAAAAAAAAATATTGGATCTTTTCTGAAAAAGAGACACGAGTGCATTTAAATGATTGAAAACGCGGATATATTCGTGTCGCCGCGTAACGTTACGATGATTCGTATTTCCATGACCTCGTTGCAATCGGCAGATAAATCGTTGGGTAATTGAATCCGCGGGCTGGAGCGAGTAACCGCGAGTACCACGTCACACGACATTCGTTACACGCGAGACACCTTGTCGCTTAATTAATCGCGCTCGCGGCACGATTCGCATCCCGCGAGAAGAGTGCACTCGCCTCGGATGCACGCGTTGCATTCTCGCCCGAGGCGGATGAAGTAACGGCAGCGACAAGCTCCGTCTCTCTCTCTCTCATCTGCGCGCGAGCTTTATAAATTCGCGGGCTGCACAGAGATGCCGGGACACCGATCCTATCTCGAACGAGCATCTCTCGAACGAGTGTTCATCTCCGCGTGTCACCCTGTCCGATTTTTCACTGATATATTGAATCGCCGTGCACTAAAAACTGCGCAACTATGTGCGTATGCATAATTAAGCGCGTGCTTCAAGCGTGGGTTTTGTATTTTTCCACATTGCGCGATAGCGTGTCTCCTACAGGCTGTTTCATTAATACGTATATATATGTCTATCGATTACACAGGCCTGTGAAAAAGAGGGTCAAAATTTTCTTTTAAGATGCAATAGTGATTTTTCACGTAATTTTGTGCGTTGAATCCGAATCCGGCCGCCGAATTTGCGTAGCACGTCCGATTTTTGAATTTTGTAGTTGAATAGCTCAAAAATCGCTATTTTGGCCAATTTCATGAATTTATTATGAGTAAACCAAATTTTTTGAAATGTTTCTGTCAATAGCATCGTATAGTACTCACTTTCATCTTTCGAATCCACTTTCGATTACTGCCGCACGATTTTTTTTCGCTGAGATATATAAGTATGACGTTGTAAGAAAATTTACGTTAAAGAAAATTTATATAGACATCAATATGGTAGATCCATGATTTTGAAATTTGAAAAGATTGACATATGTCAGGTTTGGCCAAAAAAGTATATATATTGTAAAGAAATATCTAATACAGTTGTTACACAAGTTGAAAGGCAAAAGTGAATATTATACGATGCCATTGGCAGAAATATTTCAAAAAATTTGGTTTATAATACCCACAACAAATTCATGAAATTGGCCAAAATAGTGATTTTTGAGCCATTCAATTACAAATTACTCAAAAACGTGACGTGCTACGCAAATTCGGCGGCCAGATTCGGATTCAGCGCACAAAATTACGTCGGAAATCACTATTCAGCATCTTAAAAAAAAAACCTCGCAGGCCTGTGTTATTATTGGCGTATTAATATATATTTATTATCATGTATTATTAGCGTCATTTATATTTTATTATTCATTATTATTATTAACGCGATAAAAATAAAGTAGGATTTAAAGTGTGAAATATTTGCGACTTGTGTAAAGTGTTTTTGTCGTATTGCTTATGAAATTATTAACGACATTGTATTTAAGATCCACTCTTTAAAACAAAATTTTTGCACGATATTTAATTGACATTCTTGCGAAAAGTTTCAAAATTCGACTATCGTGTTTTGGAACGTTCTGTAAATTCGCTGGAGAATATGACATATCGGTATCGGATGTCTCATTAAACACATCACAACGGTTTAATTGGATAGGCGACTTTCAAATATTATCCGCGACGACGAAATGAACTTTCCTCGGAGTGACGCTCGTAATCATTCACCAGCGCGCTTTAATACCGGATACATCGTTCTCGCATATGCATATTAATGCAAAGCGAGCGGCGAGAGATTTGCGTAAAGTAACGTGGCGCGAGAGTCGGAGACAAATCTATCATTAATGACAGCGTATTGGCATTTAATGATTTTTAGATATCGCAATCTTTTAACAATATCAACACTGCAGCTTCTTTATTTTTATCACATTTGTTTCAATTTTAGCTCGCAATTTTTTGCCTTCATAGTCATATTTAAATTGCGTTTTGTGTTCCTGGTGACTGTATCATTTTTATTGATTTTGATATGCACACGCATGCGAATGTATCTAATCGATACATATATTATATACACCTTCTAGTGTTCTTCTATTTTTTTCAAACGAATAAAAATAAATTTCCATTATTACCGATATAAAATTAATTAGATATCAATATCAATATTATGTATATGCGTTGTATTTTCCGGTCAGGTTATTTTAAAAATTCTGGAAAATTAGCCTCCGATTTCGTCGACCCTTCATAAAAGCCAGTTCGTAGATTGCAGGGTCCCTGCCTGATATAAAAGCTTCTCTTGCCCAAGAGGCATTCGAGGAAAGGGGATAGAACGGATATTGATTCCCTCAGTAATTTACGAGACTGTTCCCAGTTCGACCCGGCGAATGCCGGTTCGCGGGTTCGATTGTCGTACAACCGCCATTCGAAGAGGTACCTTAACCCTCTATTCTAATCTAGCCTGATTTACACCCCGGAATATCCGTATTGCCAATGGCGAACAGCCGTGTTACCGACTTCTCTTAATCCTGCCTTACGCAATATGAGGGCGACTAGTACAACTCACACGATGAATTTCGAGATAGCAATGGGACTATTTTATTTCCCACAACGCCTTGGGGCATTTAAACTTCTATCTTGCTTCTCTATACGCTTGTGGTAAATACTATTTTTCATTTGATTTTTAACAAATAATTTTTTATTTATTTATTTTTTTTATTTTTTTTATCCCTAACAAAGCTTGCAAAGTAACGATCTTGTTTTTTTCGCGCAAGTTTCTCTCGTAGAACGAGCGATTCTTGCGGAATGTTTCTGCGAAGGAACGTGGTGTGAGAGATTGAAGACGCAAGGCGAAACAGCTGCTTGAGTAGGGTTAATCTGTAAGGTCCGATAGTAAAAGCGGATTCTCGCGGGCGCAATTAAACGGGGCGGATTTACGATATTGTGTTCGAAAGGACAGAGTATACCCCCCGGATCTCACACGGGGGTATTAAATAACGATTTTTGCGCCCGATAATCCTCGAGAGGGTCGGAGGAGATCGCCATGGACTCGAAGAGAAGTGAAAAAGAGAAAAGTGAAGAAGAACTTAAGGACGTTTAATCCTCAGGGTTGGACGCGATTTTTGCAATAAAGCCAATTTTTTTGCTCGGACAACTCGAAAGTTATATTAAAAACTTTTCACAAAGTATCGCAATTAAATTAAAAGTTATTATATTAAATAGATGAAGTACTTCAACTTTTTAAATAAAGTATTAAATTTATAAATCAATTTGACATTTTATATACATATAAATATAAGTATGTATATAATAAATAAAAAATATATAAATAAATATAATTAAAGAAATAAATAAATATATATATATATATATATATATATATATATATATATATTTAATTATCAAATTTTTTTTGAAAGCTGTTTCTATTAAGTTTATTCGCGCATATCCTTTTTCTAATTTCAAAGAAAAAAATTTATCTACAAGATCTAAAGGATTTTTTTTTCTATTGGGATAATTATTATTAAATTCTTGGCGATATACACATTATTACATTTAACATATTTAATATTTATACATTGTTTTGCTTTAATCATAGTAATAATGTTAATCGGAAATTAAATCACTCTTCGGTAACTTTTCCAAATACATTAAATGATTCACTCATAGGACGATTAATAGAAGGGTTGACATATCGGTCGATTTCCGATAATGGGAGGAGCTCAAGCATTAATTTCGAATGGCCATCTCAGAATCCGTTAGCATCTCCTTCATCGCGCGAATGACTTTACTTCCTGCCACGTGTCGGGAAACTAACTTAAGTCATGGGTGAGTTAATATACTGTAAAAGCTAAATTAATATACTGAATTACTATGTCGTGAGATCATCAATATACACAGCGGAGAAGGGATATTATAGTATCCGATAAAATTATGACGCTCTTCATCTTCATGTTGTCTATACTTTGCCGTGCTTGAGAAACTTATGTCCCAGGCAAACTTAAATCAATATTTAAAAAAAAATTGGGATTATATGTTACAAAGTTATATGAAAAGCTCTTCGTCATCTCCATTTATTTTTATAGTTTTAAGACAGTTTGAAAAAACAAACATTTTCTTGGGAACATATTCTACGCCGTGTATACTTGTTGCGGCAAAGTGTTCTCAAGTCGAGCGATTTCCAGTACTCTTGTCAGCCAACGGCAAAGGAATTTATCGACAAGGGAAAATAAATACAGCATTAATTTACCGTAATTGGCAACGAAAGTATTAGCAGCGTTAATTTACGGGTCTTATTAAAGACCGAGCCGAGACTCCAAACCGACGTTTTCGGGATTTACACACTCTTAATGTTGATAAATGTTCTAGTTGTGTACCAATAACTTAGCACTGAGTATCGCGTAGCTGCTCCTTTTCATCTTAATCACCCTTGCAATTAATAACGAGACGTAAGAGGGAGATTGTGAATTCAACTCACACAAAATACGACGAATTTGCGCAACAAGATTATGTATACATGTTTTTTGATAAATGTTTGATACATGTTTTTTGATAAATATATATCAAATTTATATTTTTCTCTACTTTTTTTCAATTAAATTTATATTTTTATCTTTTCTCTATTTATTTTAAAAAATTTTTGAAAATAATATTATTCTTTTACACATTTATGTGCAATCACTTAAACATATATAATTAAATCATTTTTAATAATATGATTATAATATATATAAAAGAATGATGATATTATAAAAAAGATTTTTAAAAAATAAATAGAAAAGACAAGAATACAGATTATACAAGATCAAGAAACACTTGAAGACTGATTCAACAATTATAAAAAATTATAAAGAAGTGAAGAAATGAAAAAGATACAACAATCATTTAAATAAGTAATCAGTATTACTCGAGAAGAAAAATTATGTACTTGGATAAAAATAATTTCTTTCTCTCGAATTGCAACTAAACTACCGAATGTCGCTAAAGCAGCGCTCTGCAATATTACTGTTACCTCGCAATAAATGAAGTGACCTAACCTCTGCTGACGTTTACGACGGGTTGATGTGTCAACATTCCAAATAACTCGAAGCATCTCAAAGTCAAGGAGACTCGAATCTATAAAGAAGAAACGTAACCATAAAACGTCGGCGGGATGTCCGGTTACACCGGCCAGGACAATACCTATTGGACCCAATCGCCACCGTTGCCACAGGGCCAATTCAACTTCGAGTCGTCCGGTTTCGGTCAACCTAACCAGCAATTCGAATTCCAGACCTACAACGAGCAAGCGACTGGCGATTATTCATATGGGCGCAAGAGTTTTCTCGATCCTACGCAAAGCTCCTATAGCAGCGATCTATTCACGCAGGATGATTATGCGAGAGGTAGAAAAATATGATGAATTTGTTCCTCGATCATCTGATCCTCGAGCAGATGTTAGCACAGTCAGATTAATGACGAGACGAGCGAGAACCCAAGCGCTGAAAATATAAGATATTTCGAACCATGTATTCGATACGTCTGCTCGAGAATCATTGATTATTGCTAAAAGAAATCTTCATGATACCGAATTTGCAGGCACCACCGGCTTCGAGGAGGAAGAGGACGAGCCGCCTCTATTGGAAGAGCTCGGCATCGATCCCGACAGAATAATGCAAAAAACTCTGGCTGTATTGAATCCCTTCCACAGGAAAGGACAGATCGATGATGCGAATTATCTGTTGCAAGATTCAGACTTGGCGGGACCTGTGGCATTTTGCTTAGTCCTCGCAGCGTTTCTGCTGCTAGCCGGTTCAAAAGCGCACTTTGGCTATGTATACAGCTTAGCCATGACCTCTTGCATACTTATGTATATCCTGCAGTCTTTGATGAGTAGTAGCTCTAACATCACGCTGTCGTCTGTCGCATCTGTACTGGGCTACTGTTTGTTGCCCGTAGTTGTTCTGGCGGGTGTTGGCGTCTTTACTACGTTGCGAGGCCCGATTGGCTTGATTTTCGCGATCTTGGCCGTCGCTTGGGCATCTTTGTCCGCTTCTAGACTTTTCTCCACCATGTCAGGAGAAGAGGATCAGAAGCTTCTCATAGCATACCCATGTCTGCTTCTCTATGGTGTATTTACATTGATAATAATATTTTAAGTCAAAAGTTGATTGAATTGTATGTATATTTATAGGATTTACATCCATCTATAATTAAACTTTTTGTATCTGAACAGGAAAAATATCTTGTTCATATACAGATTGCCATTAATTGTGTAATAAAGTGAAATTTATTTAAATTTGTATTTTCTATAATTGTACTATTAATAATGAACTGTCTCGTAAATGTGTTAATTATTGGTAACAGTTAAAAGAATACATAATTTATATATATAAGTTTTTGCAGTTTCTTGAATAATTTAAACTATTTTAAAAAACATACGATTGGAGATATGCTTATATTTTAAGAGTAAGAAATATTCGAGAGCGGATATTATATTTGTTGTAAACGTTAGATTAACACACATTTGTTATACAATTTCTAAATAAAGTTTATGACCTTAATTTGTGTTATCTTTGTTATTTAAATATCATTGTCATGTTTGTTAAACATAGGAATAATTTTCAAGCTAGAGATCTAATTATTATATCTTATTTCTCTCTTTTCAAGGACATGAAAAATAAACATCTATATATCTCTATTTTAAAAGCATAATAATGATTCTTAGCTGCTCAGAATTAATTTTTTTATTATTCTTATAATTAAATATATATCTTTTAATTGATATAACGAAAGCTCATATACAAATAAATTTATTATTATACATAGCATTTAAACTTTGACACAATATTTTAATTTTTCCATTAATACATTTTACAAATATGTAGTATAATTATTAAAGATCAATTAAATTTTAATGATAATTAAGATGCTGATCTTATAAAAATTATTATATAATTCTTCTATATTATAATATAATTATTCTACATATCATGTAATAAATTCGTGAAGGCAGCAAACAAACATATTATATGTATATTTTTATATTATTACAATTCATAGATATAAGATTATAAATATATCATTTCATTTTTTATTTTTTATTTCTTTTTCTCAAATTATACCTGAAAATATACCTGAAAATTTAATATGTTTGCATGTTATTTGATTATATATCTGGATACAATTGATCAGATTATTTCTTTTTCTTTCTGCAGGTGTTCCATCGGACCCGGCACAAGTGCAACAACCAATTTTAGTTTGTACGGCTCACATCCATTGGGATCCCGAATTTTGCGACGTGAAATTAATACAGACGATGATGCTGAGCAATGAATTACGTTCCATTTTGGACCAAGCTGGTCAGTCGTTCAGACCCGGCCATAAGCCTGATTCTTCCAATGTTCAACTGCTACTTTGTGGCGACTTCAATTCCTTACCTGATTCTGGTATACGCATGTTTATATTAGCAATTTCTTTTTTTAAACGATCTCTTGTATTTATTAATACTTGGTAATAAATGTATGTAGTCTGTGGTAAAAATAATATTAATAACAATAAATTGCTCCACAGGTGTGATCGAGTTTCTTACATCCGGACGTGTGGCGGCCGATCATCGTGATTTTAAAGATTTAGCGTACAAATCGTGTTTACAAAAGATCTCTGGCTGCGATAAACCTAACGAATTCACGCATTCTTTCAAACTTGCATCTGCCTATAGCGAAGACATTATGCCCTATACCAACTATACGTAAGAATAATCTATTTTTTATCTTTCCATGTGCACATATATATATATTTTTATATATATTCGGATATTTGTTTTAATATATGCTTTTTCGCGTTTTCAGATTCGAATTTAAAGGCATAATAGACTACATTTTCTATTCGAAGCAAAGTATGGTACCACTGGGCCTCCTAGGTCCATTGAGCCCAGAGTGGTTTAAAGAGCATAAAGTAGTAGGATGCCCTCATCCTCATGTCCCATCTGGTAAATTTACATATGTTTCAGATTGCTTTCTTCCTTCGATGAGACTAAAAGTAATGTCAATACTTTATGTTTCAGATCACTTTCCTCTGTTAGTGGAGTTGGAAATGACACCGACAGTAGGAACAAGCAATGGTTTGATCTCACGCAGGTAGCAGCCGCTGCGATCTAGACCCAAATAACCATAAAAAGGCGAGAAATCAATAAGGAAGGTTAAAAGAGGGAAACGAAAGAATTTGCATCACTTCTTCTCTACTTACTTCTGGCTCTAGCAATATCATTCGCAGTCGACTTATTACTCTTACTACAATAGAGCGAACATTATACATATAAATACTCCATACATTGCCGCACATTCAACCAACAGCAATTGCTGTCGTTGAGACGCCGACGAACACACAATTCTAATGACCAGGTGAAGGGAGCCGTGTTGTAATGCGTTTAGCTAGCCCATGTATAGTGTATTGCATTTTTAAGAGCTAACTCACTCTCCCATGCCTAAGAATTATTGTAACCTCTCTATTTACCATCATAATATGTATGTGTAGATACCTATTTTCCTACAAAAAGTAAAGAAAGAGAAAATGACGATATTCCGATCAAGAAGCCTCTGTGATATCAACATTTAACACAATTGGAACAAATTAACGTATTTACTAATAAACAAAACTAGTAGAGCGTCTTACTAGGTAGAGAGAGAAAGAGAGAGAGCGAGAGAGAGAGCGAGCGAGAGAGAGAGAGAAACACACACATCTTAAACAAAACTCCCTCCTCCCCTTCCTAAATGTCATTACAACATTCTCCAAGCCAACCTTTTGATAAGAATGCTGCCATCCAATGAGAGAGAAAAAGAAAAAAAAATTGTATTTTTAAACAAAACGAAAACAAAAAAGCATATGAAAACATACATGCTATACTGGGCTGTGCGAAGTGATTGGAGTGATTGACTTAAAACAATTTCAATGCAAGTACAAATCTGTTCTTATTGGCCACGTATATATTGATATAATATGATAATGTTATATAAGAAAACAAGAAAACATAGATGATATTGTAGCGGGTGTATTTGTAAGTATGATATAATGTAATGATATTCATCATACACATTTGTCATAGCGTCAAAGTAAGATCAGTTCGACATTCGCCCACATTTTAGGTATCCGTTCGATTCCGATTATATTAATGTATATGTGCTCCGTATACCACATAATCCACTACTTGTTAATTCAGTTGCCATCGAAAAACGAGGGAATTTTTATATAATCGCGCGTACGAAAGTTCTCGCGTTTTTCCACAATATTGCATTTCTATCAATCTGTCTCGCTTATTTGTTCTTTTCTATTGTCTTGCAGTGTGCAGTTAATACCGCAGCTACCAAAATATAGATTCTAATCTTATTTTAGTTATCGTAGAAAATGTATTAGACAGTTTTTAATGATAATGTAAAATATGCAATGTTGCATGTGTATAAATATGCGCATGATTATATAATGCAAATATACTTGCATTTAAATATTTTTTTCTAAAATTACCAAGAAAGGTCTGTAATTTTTATTTTCTATTGATTATTTGACATGTGATGCTTCTTAAAATGCAAATAATCAGAATGTGCAATCTGTATACAACCTTTCATGCAGATTTACGGTTTGCTAAAAATTTTATTGGAAAAAAACTTGATATTTTTTTTCATATTGCTATGTATAATTTAATCTGCAAAAAAATTATATCTTTTACAGCAATTGTCTATATTCAAATATAATTTCCTTTTATATATACATATATATATATGTGTGTGTTGTAAATATGACAGTGGGATTTTGCAATTAATGTGTAGCTTGATTTTTTTTATGTTAGGAAAAAAACACAATGTAAAAATTTATTTTAATTTTCTTAATACCGTGCATGTACACATAAATATTCTGTAGTATTATGTTACAAAATCGATATTGTGCTTTGTGCTATATTATATAATTTACTTTTTTTTGGAAATAGTTTACCATGATGTAAAAATACTCATGTTTCCTGAAATGCAATTGCGTCGACTAATTTTTCTTTTTTTTTTTTATAAACAGAGTATACAATGAATACTAAACAATATAACAATGAAATACTATAATTACAGTTCCATATATATACACACGTATATTTTGATAGCATTCACACAAAACAGTATAACGTGTAACATGCACGGGTAACATATTCAGAAAGATAGTTTATTCAGATTATAATTTATCAATTAATAATTTATTTTATGAATATTATAATGGATCTCGTTATATATATGGCATAATCTGTAATTAAGAATGTAAAAAGTTTTCTATTCAAAAACTGATTCATTGAGGATTGTTATTTTAATTTGAGGCCCCGACAACTGAATTATACAAGTAAAGGATTAATTTATCAAAGACATGTGTGTAGTAAATGTTGTATAAAGTAGGTAATTATGCTATAGTTTTAATTATCGAAAGAAGAGATGGCATCTCTTCAATATTTGTATATTCCTTCGTATTAAGCATGTTTTCACATGGCAAACGAATGATTGACGTATGCGAATGATGACGTATTAGTATCAATTGCCGGCTCTGCTTTGGGCCTAATTTAAATTGTCGGAATAAAAAGATATATGACAAGAAAGCAAGATGGCGAATTTCGTTTCAATAATAAAAAACTTTAAAATCTTAATTTGTGCTATCGTATAGAGGAAAGAAAGACACGAAAAGAGCACGATAATAATCATTTTTAACTCGCTCCTCTTTTAATATTATGATGTATCACACGTAGCAAAGGCAAATTAGTACAATTCGTAATGTCTCTTAACTAGTATATCAAGTGTGGAAATGTATTTTCAGCATGAAAGTACCTATGTTTTTTCGCGGTAAAAGGAATCTTTTGACGGATTTGATGTAATAGTGATCACTGATAATCCTTCCTCGAAATAAAACCCAGCGCAATTTCTTTTGCAAAATTGGTTCTTCAAACAATTGCAAAAACATGACGCGACAAATAGCGCACAAATCATAATTTTAGCAGTATTTGAGATTATCGCATGGGTATTTTCATCGCTTTCGTCCGTAAAGAACACTCTGTAATTGTCTCTTATCTACTAGCAAAGAAAAAAGAAAACGAAAAAAACATGAATGTATACGTTATATCGATCGCTTTTCGATTTTTTTTAAAAATACGTGGATACACATGGATTGCGTTTTAGAATAAATGTAATGATTGATTATATAATGTATGGTGCAAAAAAGCAGCATTGAGACTTTACCTAATCGTTGTCCGATGACACGTATAAAAATCAAAGCATTTTATTTGAAAAAAAAAAAAAACGTGTAAACAGTACATACACACAGCAACACTGAATTTTGCTTTGTGAACGAGAAGAACGAAACGAGTCGGGTGACAAATACGTGCTCTCATGCATTTTTGGCTCACGCGCGAAGCCGCCTATGCCATAGTATTTCAAATATATTAGCTTTGAAGTTATGGAAGAGAGAAGAGATTAATGATTCAGATAATATACTTTAACTTAGATTATGAGCATTCATGTCGCATTTGCGAACGCGGTGATTTTACAAAATGACGTTTTTAGCCGATTTAATACTAATAACTTGAAAAAAAAAACTGACGAATCGAACTCTTTGTAGAAAGAAAAAATATTAAAAGAATATATATTTCCGACAAGTGTATATACTCGTACAACTGAGTTGCATTTGAATGGAATGACATTTATCTAAATTTGTCAAAAGTAATCTAGTTTTGTGCGATGTTGTATCAATCTAATCATTTTTACAACATGAATATTTCAAACACGACTGAAGTATTATACATACATTTATCGTCTCTAGAATAAATCAATAAATTGATTAAAAAATATATATTATCGTGCTACTCTATTGTTTCTAAAATCACCGTTTTCTCACAAACAGAAAAAACTAATTGTTTAATAAGAATCATTTTATCATGCACGATTAACACGCGAGAGTCATTGCGAAAAGATGCAACGGTTAATAATAAATTATCACGAGAAATTTTATGCTATAGCATTATCTCATAATAATTAAGATAACGTGTTCTCTCGTTTTTTCTGCAAAGCGTATACAGCGATTTTAAAGGAATTATGCACATGTACTGTAACGAAAGTTTGATGAATCCTGATTGAATTTAATTTTCTGTCTCTATAAGATCGATATCGGATGGCAAATTGTATATATGTTTTTCTTATTGTTGGAGAGTTTTTTAGAACTTAATATTCGCGTAATACTAACGATACCGTTAACAAAGCCCTAGATATCATACCGGAATAATGCGTGTATTAAGATAGATGTAGATTTAAATATATCAAAATAAGATAATTATATAATTGCATTGGAAAAGATTGTGGCGCACATATTCTGTTTAATCTAAGTTTTAAATAATGAAATAATTAACGCCTCTCTCATTATAGAAATATCTTCTATTAAATATGTTATTAATATAATATATTATAAGTGCAATTTATTATATTTAAAATTCTAAACTATATTAAAATTCTGCAACATTAAATTGTTATAATACTCTGTTTTAACACTTTTGATAATATTTTTAAACCATAATTTTCTTTTTATATTACATTTTATTTCTATAATGTAGATGATAATAGATGAGACGCCACAATTGGCGAGAAGGAAGATATTTGTCTAAGCTTGACAATAACTGGGACAGTCCTATGGACTATCCTTATATCATTTAACAGATCTTTCAATAAAAAATTTTACAATAATGTTCTTGTAATATCGGTGATGGGCTACTGGCCTACATTATTTTATTACTTATAGAAAAATTATTTCAAATATTTATAAATAATTCTAATGTCGCTTCAATAGCTTTACTCTTTTTGATTGGTATATATAAACATCTCAAAAATAATGTTATATCTTTATTTGCAAAACCTATACAAAATTGTAATTTGTAATCGTATAAAAAATCTGATAAAAAAAGCATTTATTATTTACTTTAAATAGATTTTTATTCTATTTTTCTCTAGAAAAAAGAAGTTAAAGTTTCAATCTCGAGAATAATGCATTTTGAGACATTATCTTTTCAGAACTGCAATAATATTTGCGAGAAGATGCAATGAAGTTTATAGTTTCATAGTATTATACTACATGGCTCTAATTCGAATTCGATATAAAGCATTGATTTAAACTAGTATTATTACCGGTATTCGATGTATTAAGCGAACGAGTAATTAATTAGTTAAGAATAAGGATTCATCAAACTCTGTAGCATATAATAGTAAGCATAATCTTTATTTATACGTTGTCAAAAAACTACTAAATTGCTTTAAAATCGAGTTAGCGAAGAGAAACACCACATTTAAGCTTCTAAGAAATTTCGAATAATGCATTACGCACTTATCTCTAAATACTTTTATTTTAAACCTTCTCCTACAGTAGTGCGTTCAATCTCTTATAGTTTTTTTTTTATCTTATTTAATATTAAGTAGGTATTTTTACTTGAATCGATGTGGAGATAGCAACTTTTTAAAATCTAGTACAATGCGAACGCTGTGTTCTGTTGCTTGGAGAATTTAGCATACTTTTGATATAATTTTGATTAATATATTTAGAATTAATGCTCGCAATTATCTTTGTAATTGCATAGGCGTATTATAACGACTTATATATATATAAGACGATATATATATATATATATATATAAATATATATAAAAACATAAAAAGACGCTGTATACGCAATCTGATACAGAATAATATGCAATGGTCGATCTATCAGATGTTTCATAAAGTTTATATAATTTGTGTAATAAATATCAATCACTAATTAAATTAATTTATATGTTATTTTGCTGATATGTACATTTACTTTTAATTCCTCTGTTTATTATTATTAATATTATAATTTATATAATTATAATATTTATAATATTATTTTATAAATTAATTATATTTTTACGAAGATTACTGTTATATGTAAAACAAAGTCACTTCATTGAGATGTTACTTTTAAAAGTAATCGTGCATTTGTTTTATATATCAATATTATTTCTGACAAAAAAATACAATCTTATTTGAGAATTAAAACATCAGATAACATATGATAAATTAACAATGGAATGTTACATTTTTATAATTATCCGGAAATATTGAGAACATATTTTGAATAATCTATTAAATATATTTTAAGCAATCGAAGGCATGTTTATAAAATACGATTTTCTCGAAATTTAAAAGTCATTATTCTATATAGCATTGCGGTATAACGTCAAACTTTGACTTCCATAGCTAAAAATACTAAATTATAGGATATTAAAAAGAAATAAGACGAGCACAGCACATTTCAGCCTGTACTTTTATAAAAGGAGTGATCAAAAAAATTCTAGACATTGGAACACAATTGTTGCGTCCATCATATAAGATCAATTACATCCCTGCGCTTATAAAATCTGTAATTTCAATCAGGTTTTGTGTAAGCTCTCTTTCTTTTGAAAAACTTTGTTTTAATTGTACTAAAAATTTTTCATTCAGAAGATTTATTACTTGATCCTCGCAAAAAAAAGTTGTAATTGGCAAACAAAATTTTATACATATGCATATAAATATATAACTCCATTATTTATGATTGGAATTTAGATTGTAGTCATTTAAATATATTGTAAATAATTTAACATTAATTTGTATTAAAAAATTATATATGTGTGTATATATATATATATATACATACATACATATATATATATATATATATATATATATATATATAATCAATATATATATAATATGCATAATTATAAAATATGTTTTGTTTCATCGATATACATATTTTAAGCATAATATACTTTGAAAAAGTAATTTCGTCTTAAATACATTTAGTACGAGCTAGTTGCATCATCAATGTATGATATAATTTTTATACAGACATTTGATTATAATTAGTCTTATCTAATAATTCATGAAAATAGTATGGATATCAAGTAATAGCATTCTTCCTTATCAGACATTCATGTAGAATAATGATATTAAATGAGACATGAAAAAAAGTACAAATGTTAGCAAAGAGAGCTACACATGGTCCTGATTGAATATTGAACGAATATGTAGGAGTTATAAAAGTATATAATGAATGAGAGAATATGGTCTAGTAGCAATTATATAAAATTATTATGCTATATTACCTTATATATAAAGTTTGTGAATGCTCTGTCAGTCTGCTCTTGAAGCCTTTAGTTTTATTTGGGTAATCCTTTTATGGTGTGATGTATGATTTCTCTTTTTATTATAAAGATGCAATGATTGTATATGGGCTGCATTTGAGTCATGATCGAATGTAACAACAATTTATTATAAGTAATGCAAAATAAATGGATGACATGCAAAGAATAAAAAGCAAAGAAATTTTTTTCTGTGGAAAATGATAACATTTTAAGATACTAATTTATTTATTTTAATATAATTTATGTAGACATATATTTATTTGTATATATACATTTTCGGCATGATATGCTATAATTATTAAATTATACTTTATAATGGATGAAGTGATATTTAAATTGAAATAGGAAAAGTCTATGCGATATATCATATTAAAATTTACTGAGAATTATTATTATAAAAAAATCTAATGTATTTTACTTACACGTGTTATACATAAGTTCTATATATACTTGAATACTACATCTTTCTTACTATCAGTTGTAACCAATTCTATTTTAATGGGACATTGCAGCCAATAACTCAAGAGTTCCTCGGTATAGCCAGTTAAGAAATATATTTTATAAGGTGCTATACTACGAGTAATAATTCCAGCTATCCTAATAATATTATGTTGCCGTTTAATGATAACTTCACTAACGAATAAATTATGCCATGTTCCTCTCATAAATTGTCGAATAAACATATCTTCCACAGCTGTCTCAGATGGTCTATTGCCATCCTTTACATTTGCTAAAAAGATAATATTCAATAGAAGTATGACAAACTGACATATATATATATATATATATATATATATATATATATATATATATATATATACTTCTTACAAATTATACATACAAGTATTCCAAGAGTTCCAACTTTTCCTGTGAGCCAGATAATGAGGTGGATTTGCCATTTCGTATGTTAATGGTCTATCTCGCTTAAGTGTGACTTTGTAGCGACCAGAGCTTGATTTATTAAGAACTGTGCTTCTGTGGAAATGTCTTTTTATAAGAATTTGTTGAATAGCTGGTAATATCTGAAATCGCAATAAAAAAATTATTATTACACATACTTATTATAATTTAATCCTAAATAATAGACAAAGGAAAAAACCTGACATTAGTTATATATAGAAAACAATAGAAAATAATATATAATACAGAAAACAATAATAAAAAGATTAAAAAGGTTATAATAGAAATCTTTCATCAAAGCGAATTAATTATTTCAATATAACTTGCGGAGGTAAATTTTAATACATTTTTCGTATGTTCCAATAAAACCATCTTGCACTGATTTGTTAATTTATTGGATGTAAAATTGTTAAGCAATGTCAAGAACGATAAACATTAGCCAAAAGTAGAAAGAACAGAATTTGTGAATTTCTCTTTAACTTGAGAGATAGAGAGAGACAAGCTATCGAGTATACTTTGTTATCCAAAGTCGATATTATGTCAAGTCGATTTCTACTTTACCATCAATAAATTAGAAATTAAAATAAATTGCCGTTGGTAAATTAGAAATTATCACTGTTAACATTGTGTGTAAATTATAATTTAAATTCGTAAAAAATATCAAAAGAATATAATTATTAAAGAGATAGCACACAAAAAATTTTTTAAAACTGTGATTCCAAGAATTCTTAAAATTTCACATTTAGCTCTTTGATAAAATTAAATTTTCACAAAATTGAAAAAATATTAGAAGAGAATATATTCATTAAAGAGATATATTCATTAAAGAGCGTAAATCAAAATTTAAACAAACTAAATTTTTTAAAAATAGAACAAATATATTAGATAGATAAATATAATCAATTTACAATTGTTAACAAGATGACACGAAAGAAGTAGTAATTAAAATTTCAAGAAAAATTGAATTATCGAAAATCGGTAAGGAATAATAAAATTTCTTATATACATTTAGTATATATTACATTATAATTAAAAATATATGAAATATAAGTTATATATGAAATATAAGTTATCACCACTCGATCTCAGTTTCTTAATCGCTATACAACTTAATTAATTAATTAATTAGGCGTAACAATAAAAAGAAAGATGAATTAATGATTGGCTTTTGGCTTTGTTTTTACAGGATAAAAGCTTCCTTATCTTTTACCGTTTTTCTCTGTTTAATGATTTAAACGATTTCGCAAAATAACAAAGAACCTTTCTCTCTACTACTCTATTTCTCTAACTTCCAAAGTAATACTACAACATTAGACCGAAGAAGAGACGAGTTCAAAAATCAACGATTGTCAGAATTGTTTTTCAGGTGTATTCAGAAATGTATTTAGAAAATAATGAAACAAAACACAATTTATTAGAATTGAAAAGTAAATTTTCTAAAAATAAATCATATGTTATATAATAATAAAATGTTGTATAATAATTAATTGCATGGATATACATACGTCTTTTATTTATCATCATATTTTTCATAATAGTACAATCTTACAGATTTTTAGAATAGGAAAAAGAATTTAATAGTTTCAATAAAACTAGATAGTAGTATATGTATACATTTAGCTCTAGATAGATAATAATATATACACTTAAAGAATATAAATAAAGTAAAAATAAATAATAATTAGAATCTAGTATGTTGCATATTAATATAGAATAATCATATAATCGAGAATTATAATGATATATAAAATATATTTTGTAAAAAATTTTGTAGAATTTATGGAATTTTATAGAATTTTTTAACATAAATCAAATTATGAAATATAACTGAAATATGATTATACCACTGAATACTACTTCAATGGATGCATGTGCATCTAGCAATACTGGAGCTTAATGTAGAATAAAATGTGTTGAATGGTCATGGTGGGCACGAGATGGTAAAAGAAGAAGATTGAACAAGTGGCCGATCTTAAAGGTACGTTTCTACTATCATTGGTATTTCTATAAGATACAGAAGAATATACATTTAGGAAAGAGAGAATAAACTTTTAGGGAAAAATATACGTATGTAAAAATAATATACACGTGCAAAAACATTAATTCTAAAGAAAGTTTTTTTTCTAATAAAGTTTTTAACATTCTTTTCGAACGATGACAATACTATTAAGATCTTATTGTGATCATTGTTTTTAAAAAAATTCTTGTTTACTATTGATAAGTTTATCAATATCTATCTATTCATATATTTATCTATTAATTCTCATTTTCTTATAAAGAAATTTTCTAATAAAGAAAAAGTTTATATAGTTGTATTATATGTATGTATTTTACATAACTTTCTAATATATAATAAGGTTCGACTAAATTGTTTTATTAAACTCTTTTTTAAATTATTTATTATTGTTAATTTAGATTAATTTACATGTATATTTTTGATTAAAATCGTTGATGAAATATTATACAAGCGTTCCTTCGAATAAGTCTTTTTACTTGCGAGTGAAATAAAATATTTTTTTTTCTTCTACGTATACTTTATATTACGTTTCGATACAAGACAAGTATCTAACGATTGCAATCGTTGAAAGTCGAATATAAGTATCATTAGCTTTAATAATTATACATGTTTCGCGTCGACTTAAATAAGATAAAATGATATAGGTTAATTCATCATCATTATAACTAGAGGCGATTATAATGATAAAATTGCGCACATAATGTCCTAAGGACGAGTTGTCACGCTAGAATATGAGAATATGAAAAAAGCATTGTGCCTTTTTAGCTATATATTTAGATATATTTAAACATGGATATTTAATATCTTTGGATAGTATTATTATGAAAAATATGATATGCAAAAGATGTATATGCGATATAATTATAACATGATTTATTTCAGAAAATATGTAAACAAGAAAGATAAATCATAATATCCATTGTGCATAATGTATAAGAATAAACAGAATATAAAATATGTTATAAAATATTGGCAATAACTTGAGAAAAAGAAGAATAAATGCGTTAACAAAATCATAATAATTTGTAATCAATAAATGGGAGAAGAAAGGATATATATATTAATAAAATTGGTCATCGTATGGTGCGTGAGAAAGATTTTCGTACCGTTTAATCGATTGGATCGTAAGCTTGGCGTTTATATGGAGGTCGTAAAAGTGGCACAAGACGCGAAATCGCGAAAAAGCGCGCACGCAAACGCGAAAAGGGCGTTAATGGAGACGTACCTTAAAAGACGAAAAGAAAGACGCTGAACGATAAAGTGAACAGGAGAAACGCGTGAAAAGGAAGAAGAAGGAAGGGGCAAAATAAAAGGAGAAAGATACCGAGAGAAAACGAAGGGGGATAACAACGAGCGGTTGAGGGAAAAGGGGGGGCGGAAGGCCGTCGACTGACAGGGAAGGACGATGGAGACAGAGCAAATGAGAGGGAATGCGTGAAGGAGATGACAGGAACGGCTATCTCTTCTTCTCTCTTGTGAATGAATTTTTCATCATTGAACAATTTTTTTCACATTTAATATTCTCTCAAATTTCTGTTATTTTTATCAAAATAACGTTTTTAATTATTTTATGACAATATTAATAATTCAAATAAAAGAGGAGATTTTATATTCCATTTTATATATTCAAATGTACGAAATCTTTATTCCAAATGTTTCAAATTAATGAAATTTGTTCTCAGTAAAATTACTGTAATTACAATTTTTTTATGATATTTATAAATTTGATATTAATTCGTTTACTGATAAAAAGAAGAATATGAATACAATTTTGTTTCCAAATAATTTTTAATAATATTTATACATACTATGATACGCGAATCCAAAGCGAGCTTTGACAAAGCCAAACACGTGCTTTCTCTGTACATACTTAGAGCCGTCCCTGGAAGAGGGAGCGATGGATCAGAGGGGGATGCCGTCAGGTAGGGTGGCGAAACGAGTGGGAGTCGATCGCACGGAGGAGAATCGCGAGCGAAAGAGAGAGAAGTCAACGAGATTGCCCGAAAGTGGGAGCGCGATGCACTCCGAGCGACGGAGGGGGAAGCGGATGTCTGAAGAAGAGGGGGAGATCGCCGGGGGTGACGGAACACGCAAAGTGCAGCGCAGAGGAAGGGAGGGCAGGCGGTGGTCGCGACTTGCTGGCAGTCTCGTTGATCCGGCTGCGAGCAGTGCGCGCCGTGACGTGACAATGGCGGCAGTCGTAATTGCGGTACGGTGCGTTGCTGCGATCAGCTGATTGACCGAGCCCGAGAGAGAAAGAGAGAGAGAGCGAGCGAGCGAGCGAGAGAGCGAGATAAAAGACGCGCGCGGGCGTTCCGAAAAAGGAGCCGACCGAGGTAGAGGCTGAAAGAGAGGCCCCTCGCGCAAGATCGTCTCGTCGCTGGCCATGTCGTTGCTCTCGTGATCAACTCGTAGGTGGTGTGCTCCTAGTTTCCTCGCGTAGTATATGAATTATACAGTGTGTCCCCTCGCCGCCTCCGCGGCGGCTCCGTAATTCCCTCCGTTGTCGCCACGCGTTTACCGTCCGTTCCCGGTGTGTTGTGTCTGTGTGGCGCGTATGCGAGGAGTTCGCACGATCGGTAGATAAATGTCTCTCAGCCATGCCCGCCGTGCGGAAGTATCGAAGGGATACCAGCGAGGTGAGCTGCTGCCTCAAGTACGTGATCTTTGGATTTAACGTCATGTTCTGGGTGAGTATCACGCGCGCGATAATAACAAGAGCGCACGATGTCGCACGCGCGAATCACGAGTCCTTCGACATTTCGGACGTTATCCCCTAAGGGGGATAACGCTCCTAGCCAACGTTAACCCTGATTGTGAGCGTAGCTTTATTAGAGGAGAATGTATATAAAGAGTCGAAGGAAGACACAAAAGGGCAGTGCTTTGGTAAACGGAAGAGTAGTTGTAAAGGGGTTCCTTTTAATTTTTATACTATTTCAAGCTTCAAGCTTTCGCGAAGCCGTTATTAGTTGACTGCGTTTGGGAAATATGACGGCAAACGATATTTCCAAGGCAGAGTGAAATTTGCGTACCTTCCGGTTGCTTTTGTTCGCATTACAATGAGACTTTATTATCGCGTTGCATGCAAGCCCTCAAATAAAGTATGTCAAATTGTTTAGTTTAATAACATTTATGCTTGATGAAAATATTTATGGATTATAGTGGTTATTGTGCGCATTGTATGTCTAACGATAAAATGCTAAACGAGAGAAGCGCGTATGTACACCCCTTTTTAAAAAATTTCAATACCTGAAGCCATTACTACTTTATCTCGATCCACTCCTTTGCGCTCTTATCTTAATGATATTAAATGAGAAAGTCATTGACGCGCGCGATCTATCGATTACGCTCGCGAAGCGCTCATCCCGCTCTTTTTCACTCCCTTTCGTAAAGCTCTCACCCTTTTGGATGAAATCTGCTAGTAGAATGCGATTACGTCTATCACGTCAGTCGAATGGTTTCTCCTTTAAACGCTATTCGAGAGTTGGACAGATATCAATTATGGTTCTAAAGCCTTCTTATTTATCGCTATTGTATATATCTAAGAAACGCAATCCAAGCTTTATTACGTCATAAGTACTCTTTTATATCTGACATATAAAGATCAAACAGCTTGTCTCGATCGCGATTAAAAGATTATTAGTATCCTCTTCTCGATAGCTCTTATATTTCGTTGCTATTAGTAAGCGAAAATTAATGATATATATTCGAATAAAAAAAAGAAGAATAAGGAGAATCTTTTTAAAAATCTTGCCACTCGTTTTATAGCTTTTATAAAAAATTAATCAAACTTGACAAACTTTTAAATTTAAAACACGGATAAATTAATTGCTTATTACGTTTCAATCTTTAGTGATGATCCTATCAATCTTTAGTTATAATCCTATATAATTATAAAGGTACTATGATTATTGCAAATCGGGTAGTTTAATGCTAATTTCACTCTTAGCGAAATCTTTCAGAGTAACATCGTGTATACGATCTTGATAGAAGATAAATATATGAATCAATCGCATTTTAGTGAGGTGGCACTATAAATGCGACAGACGGATACGAAACGAACGTCGGCCATCGAATTTATCGTGAAACTTCTCGGCGGAGGGACATGTTTCAAGGGATAACATTTTTGGCAGTGACAAACTTGTTTGCCGGAAGGGAAATTTGTAACGTTCCGTTCTTGGCGACGCTGCATTTTTACAGAAGCCGCCGCAAATGACCCGCAATGCAGCTCGCGCGGCCCGCGAAGTGTCCCAATTGCGAGGACCGCGACGACCCTATGCAGCGTGCACGTGTGCGATACGGTCTGTATATTACTCGGCATGTAATCCACACATACTAAATTACTCGCTGCGAAACACATTAGTTAGACAGACGTGTAGAAAGTCGCGCGTTTCTGTCAGCTGAGAATCATTCTTTATCTCTCTTCTCGGTCCAAAATTTTGCTTATAGGAAATCAATAATTTTTATATTTTTTTTTACATTTCTATCTGTGCATTTTAGTCGATATTTATTTCCATCCTAAATTTTCATTCATTTGTGTTCGTTAAAATTGAAAGAACGATGAATCGCACGCGTGCAATTTTAACATCTTTCGTGAAAAAATTAATGCGTTCTGATGGTACGCGACATTTACGATTAAAGGGGATAGCGCGAACTATCGGGAAATGAAAGATTTCATTTGCGGGACACTATGCGTTGTGTCCGTTCCTTTCTCTCTTCCACTTTCTCTGTCTCTTTTTGATTTACGTTCTGTTTGATCGAACGACTGTCCGTTCTCGCGGTGGATAACGTACGATAGACGGCGATAGATCAATTCTGCACGCGAGCATTGTGTATGTTGTGTCGCGCCGTGTTTATACGATGTTGTTTACAAATCGTAATTTTATTTCGCGTACGCGTATTAACACGGAGAAGTTTGCGTGGATTGATTGAAATGCGAGAATAAGCCTCAACTTCATTCGCCTCAATTTCTAATCCCAAATCCTATTCCTCAGTGACATAAGCTTCATGTAATGTCTGCAAGACGTAATGACGCCAGATTAAAGTCTTCGATCAATCCTTGTCATTGATCCTTGAGAAAAACTATCAATAGTTTTATAAGATATTTAAATCGAAGAGAGAGAGAGAGAGAGAGAGAGAGAGAGAGAGAGAGAGAGAAATTTGCATCAATTTGTCATTATTAATAAATCAAATTCAACTCGATATTTTTCTGTTGAACATATATTATATTTTTTGTCATTATTCATGCCGATTAATGGAAGATATTGAAACTTGGTACTTTATAAAGTTTGGACGGTGAAAAATGCAAGGATCGCATTGCGCTCGCAAACTGAATTGTTCTCGGGTTGAAGTAACCGCACGATAATGAACTCCGTGCGAGCTTATTTCACCGGGACGGATTAAAGGTATTATTGATTTTCCCGCAACCGGGTAGCGGGCTGGGTTCGGGGTTTTCATGAAATGTAGCACTGGCCTAGTGATATGTGGAGAGTTCTTCCTGCCAAGCACTCTGCGTAATTAAATAGTGACTGTGCCACGAAAGGTCGCACTCGTCTAGGATCCATTTTATGGTTCATACGAGAAAATATACGACGAATAATATTAATTACATTCATATATATATATAATATTAAACACAGCCTATTTTAATAATGGATTAATCGAACAGCAGTGTTTGCAAAATATTTTATCTGCATGAAAAAGGTAGTCTGATAGATAGAACAAATTTAATAGTTGACTTAAATGACGTGTAAAAAGTGAAATGCAATCATTTTACATTTTTTAATGATTAATTTTTTATGTTAAAAGTCAATAGAATACAACAATGTTTGATCGCGAAAAGTCAAATATTTCTGGACATATATATATATATATATATATATATATATATATATATATAGCAAAAACAATAATAAATAATAAATAATTAATTAATAAACCATAAAAAAATAATTTAAAAAAATTAATTTAAAAAAATATTCTCTTTATTTATTTAAGATTTATCTACATAAAAGTAAATATAGTCTATAGGAAAATTATTTTCTTAGTTATCAAAATCTCACACGAGATTAAACGCAATATACACCCATGTAAAAAATGCTAGACTTAACACGTGGCTATGTGCAATGTCTCGAGCAATCGCGTGAAAATCCGCGGAATCAGACGAATCATGATTCTCGACTCGTTCTGAGCTAATAAAAGTCGCAACTTCGACGATACTGTCTCGATATTCTTTCGACGAACTTGCAAACATTCGCCAAGGCGCTAAGTTTCGTAGTTTGGAAGTCGTGGTGAGTTAACCTCGGCTACTATCAGCGTTCCTCGGTCTATATAAATTGGGATATGTGCGGAAGATAAAAAGAAGGGAAGAAAAGAAAAAGAAAGAGAGAGACAGAGAGATAAAGAGAGAGATTTCGTTAGGAATGCGCGTTTCGCGAAACACCGACCTCGTAAAATTTTTATGCGTCGCTGAAAAATAATAACGACCATTGCGCGCAAATAATTTTATCACAAAGTTTTTCCGCGAACGGAAAGGTTTTCCCTCGGAGCGGAAATCCGTGCGCGTCGCACTGTTCGTAAAGTTGGCGCACGGAAAATGAGATATTGCGCGAAACATTTATGGCTTGTCGAGACGAGCATCTCCGAGATCATTTGCAATCCTGTAACGAATTCATAATGTAATTTTCCGCGCGTTTGCTCTTTTCTCTTTAAATCCCGAAAAAAATACCTCTCCCGCGTTTTTATCGCAATTTAAAACGTAGATATTGTTGTTGCTTATCCTGCATTATTTGCATCTGCGATTGATATCGTCGCTATTACATATTGATGCACTTGTGCTTATCACGCTTGCACAGCTGGTCCAGTTTCGCTGCAATTCGCTGGAATTAATGACAGCTGTTTCAATAGCTAGTTTAGATGCTTATTTTCGGACAAAGAAAAAAATGGAGGAAGTTATTCCAAGTTATTCCAAGTTACTCCATTTTTTGTTTTCCAACAAAATTACATGTACTACTCAAAAAAATAAAAATAAATTATATACGTAAATAACGAATTATATATAAATATTCTTTCTCTTTCTTTCGTATTCTATTTAAAAATACAGATGATTAGTCTGAATGATCCGAAATGGTCGCAATTAAAATACAAGTCAATTATTTTTATGTTCTTGAAACAAATAAGAATTGCAATTTAAATATTACAGAGGACAGCACGAATCCAATTTTAACCTTAACATAAACTTAAAATTTTAAAGAGAATCCGCAGATAAAATTTTTCAATAAGAGAGAGATAATATGTATAAAAATATCCAAATTTCGTAGGAGCTACGAATTAATCGCTCGTATTCTCGTCTCCGAAAGGAATCCGGCTGCGAGATAGACATATTTCACGAACCGAATCCGTTCACCGCGCTTTCTGCATGGTTGCCCTCGAACAGATGATTGGCCTTGCTAGCTGACGATGACTCCGAACCGGGCGGTATTCTCCCGCTTTATACGTCACTCCCGTGCGTGTGAACGGCCGCGAGCATACGCGTGTTCCATAGATGATTCCAAAGGTGCTCGAGCACACGAAACTTCACCGATACTGCTCTTCGCGAAAACGTTAGCTCATCTTTCATGGACCAATATGTTCCCAATTTTGAACAATAAATCTTATATTTTTTTAGCTTTCCAGGTATGTACGTACAATT